ACCCAGGAGGTATGTATTATTAAAACGTATAGTTTTTGTTTTCTCTCTCGAGTGCCATTCGTGCCTGCTCTTCTTGCATAAATCCACCAGAGGCCACCGTCGACTGACTGACTGATCGACTGACCCACCATCCTCCTTCCCTAAACCTAACCGCAGTGTTTTTAAAAGCAATTCAGAAAAAGCAAAGCAGCCTGATTTTTACCATGTTTATAGATTTTACCCAATTCTTATACTGTCATTTACTTGTTTATTAAGTTTTTGGCTTTTGTTTTTTGTCTTACCTGCTTTCTGGAACCTTTCTTCACAGAATTTAAACCCTACTGTCGCAGTCAACTCCACGTCACAAGTTGGCCAACATAAGTGGCGAGCCACTTGACGAACTGGTGATAGCGGAAAAGCGGTCCACACGGAGGTAAGCAGTCAGCTGGTAAGTGCGAAAAGGAACGGCGTTATACTGCCCCGAAACATTCGATTAAAAGATGTAATGCAGCTATACATATTTCTAGCTATATAATTTGTGATCTCCAGAAATGTATATAGGGCTGCTTTTTCAGAATGAGCCAATGTTATGTATTTCTGGATTTCATGAAGAATATGATGCATGAACAAAAACTTCAGCAATTAATATTTATATTTAGCATTGAATTTTATTATATTTAAGTGACACTGTATCTGTTTCTGCACTTGTTCCTGATTTCTCTCAACAATAGAGCTATAAGTTAATAAATCAGAAAACAAAGTAATTAACATAAACTTTTTAAAAAACTTTCTTGCAAATGAAAAAGAAATGCATTAGTTTATTAGTTATTTGAAAACATTCCATTATTTGAAAACAAAAAGTTATCTGACAACATTACTCTTGAACATACTTGTAATGTGCTCCACTGTTCATTTATACATTTAAACATTTTTTTAGTCTTCCAAAAAAGAAAACCAAACACAAAAGTTTCATATGTAGGCTAAATATAAGGTTTTGAGGTAATAATCTAATCGTTTAAATGTTTCACTGGTTCTCTATTCTAAAGAAAAACATTCTCTGTCTATAGTAGTTGCTCTTTTCTTATCAATGGCTTATTTATAAAAGCAGCACATCCTTAATTAAGCTATACAGATGAAAGGTTATTGAGAGAAGTTGTGCTTTCTGATAATGGTTTTCAAGGATTTTGTTCTCAAGGTTCAGATTGATAAAAAAAATGTTGCTATAAAACATCCTTATCATTTCAGATTGTCAGTGATCCATATTTTATATGTCAATAGTCCACATTCTTGGTAACACACTGGGCTTTTTTAGTTAAGCAACATCCAATGTTTTAATAAAAAAAACTTGGAAAGAGGATTATCATCAGTGCTGTGTAGTAAATCCATAACACTGAATAAACTCTAAAGTTACACATTTTCAAAACAATTTTTGTTTATGGTTGTGCATTACTATCGCAACAATAGAATTATTATTATGACCGTTATTATGACCATTTATGTGAAGCTGCTTTGACACAATCTACATTGTAAAAGCGCTATACAAATAAAGCTGAATTGAATTGAATTGAAAAATTACCACACACATCAGTTCATATACTTGTTATACTTACTTACTACTTACTTACCATAGTATGGTGTGTGTGCGATTGTGTGTTTGAGACAGAGAGAGTGAATGCTCATATGAATGGATGAATATCCAATTGCCTAATCAGTAATCTAAATTAAAAATACAACATGCCAAAGTAAGATCTAATTACTGTGGAAAATGCTTGACAACTCCGTTGCTCAGGATACTTTTATGAGACAGCTCCAGCAAGTACATCACAACAAGTCTCTTCTTAAAACTCTGATATACTCAAGTTTCAGCGATAAAAGAGAAGCACAGCTGCTTCAGTTAGCTCTCTGGAAGCACTCCATTCTGTATTAGTACCATAGCCATTCCAGTCAAAACCCGTAAAGTCTCCACATTGTTTAGGGTAACCCTCAGGAAAGTGTCCGCCTCCACCAATACAAAACTGCAAAAATACAGTAGGAGTGCATTACTTACAACACATCATATACCCATGCATTTCTCTATATGACATTGGTGCAGTTGATTTAATGCATGACTTATGGTGTTGTATGTTGTTTGCTGTGTACAAATGTTGCTGTAAATAATCCATTGTGATTTATAACTCACATGCTCAGTGTTACAGCCAGTTGGCTTAGCCCCAGAGCAAAGTGCCATAGCTGCCTTTTCATAATTTAAGACTCTGAATGTGATGAATCCAGGCTCAAATTGTGCTGAAAAAACACAGAGAATATATTATTAATGATGTCATAAAGTTTTCTTTCAATTCATTCGAGTAACCAGATTAATGTGTCAGCTTAAAAAGCACTAGAAGAGGTTCTGTCATACTTCTTGCACTTGGACCATACAGTTTTTTGGTAGATTCTTCATTTCCAGTATCATACACGATCGGGACAGCAGGTCCATTATCAATGTTGCAGGAGCCGATTCCAAACCTCACAGGGAATTTCTGGGAAATGCAGTTAAAAAAGATTCATTAAGTGTTTTTTTTCCACACAAAATTTAAAATGGCTAAATTTCAGTTAATGTTTCCAACTAAAAGTGGTGTCAAAGGTAATCTTACCATAAATAACTTGAATAGGTTTCCTCCGTGTAGGGTTAAGAAGTGATTTTCAGTGTGGTATCTGAGAATGGAGCCAGTGCTCCAGTGTTCCAACTCCATATTATTAGGCACATGCCACACAGAAACATCCTGAGCTGCAATGTCATAGTATCCCGGATTCTGTCAAGTCAAGTAACAATAATTCATATAATATTCATGGTTAATAACAGAATACAGATTTTATATGATTCTATTTCTAGATAAACTTTTTAGATTGTGAGTGCATTATTGTAATACCTTGTAATCATCACTTGTAGCGGCCTCTGCGGCTCCAAATGTGACTTTATTTGCCCATGTGCCTTCACCTATAGGCCGGTTTTCATTGCTGCCCTGTTCACTAGACCAGCGGTCACCAACTGTACACTTTCCATACATGTTGTTTTCGTGAACACTGGCCACCAGCGTCCAGCCGCCGCCTGCAGTGGTCATGTCACAGAACGTCTGGTAAAGGACTCCTCTTGAAGAGATCAGATAGTACAGGCCATCTGTATGTCAACACAAGCATTCCTCAGTCACACACATGCAGATGCTGTCTAACATTACAAATAAAAGATACAGTATGAGATCATACCCTCATAAACATGGTACTTGTCACGGATTTCTTTGCAACTTCGACCAACATATTTAATTCTGTCCACAAATTTTGCAATCTCAGGGTTGATGCTGACATCATCAATATTAGTAGATGATGTTTCTTGTTGGTTTGCTACAATGTGAAAGATAAGGACATGGCGTAATAAAAAAACGTATTTAAAATTGACATACCAATCTTCAAGTCTTAACTTTTATTTTTGATAAATTACACTTACTTTGTGCAGTGTTACAGAACCAAAAACTCAGTGAGAGGATGATGAGTTCTGAAAACATGTTTTATTCCTGCCAATAGCAACAGGGAAAACATTTTTTTAATTTGTTGTTTGTGAACAAAGACAACAGTTTGCTATTCTGGTGACACTGAATTGTTCATTGAGAAAAATATTTAGCTCTGAGAGGATTTTGAGAGCAGTTACTGTTTTTTGCACTAGTTGTTTAAAAAAAAGCAACAAAATAAAATAAGATATCAACTTGATTGACTATTTCCTCTGATTTAGCAGATAGCCTTTAAGCGTCCTTTTTTGTTGTTCCCCTCCAGCAATAAAAAAACATGAAAATAAAGAACACATTAACAGCACCTCTGCAATAACAACCTATTGATAAAGTAAATGACCACTAGACATATATATTTTATCATGTATTTAAAAAAAAGTTTCTCATAAACTTTATGCTTTCACTGTCACAAGTACTGTTCATAAACGTGATTGTTAATAATCCAAAATTTGACTTTACATTTTCCCAGTTGCTTTGAAGTTTCACAAAGAAAATTGAAAACCAGTAGGCCCATGCATTTCTTGAAACTTCATACAAACAGCACCACACAGTGGATTACTTGTAAACAGCTGTAACTTGCTCAGATGAGACCAAAGAGCTCTGTAGTGTGAAACGCCAAAGCCAGCTATTACAGTCATTTGATCTGTTATAAACAGACAACAAACGTTTTGGTGTTTGTGGTCATGCAGGCACATTTTGGAGAAAGAGACGGGGGAAAGAAAAAAAAAGCTGTCACATTATTTTTGTTTTATAATGCACTGAAGTCTGTGTATGTTTATCTTTTATATTATATAATAGACTTTTTTCTGAAGCTCTAAGACCCAAATTCTAACAAAATCAACATTTTTATTTTTAATTAGCTTGTTTCACATTAGAATATTTTTTTTTACTTTAAAACATGTAACACACATATATGTTACATATATATATATATATATATATATATATATATATATATATATATATATATATATATATATATATGTGTGTGTGTGTGTGTGTGTGTGTGTGTGTGTGTGTGTGTGTGTGTGTATATTTTTTGTTAAAGACCAACATTTGTCTTACTGATACATTATTATCAAAAAACATTTAAATTAGTTTTAGATTTAGTTTTTAGATTAGATTTAGGAATTAGGATATATTTTTGGTTGTATTACATTTGTTGGGTAATACAATAAACAAAGGAAGGGCAGGAGGAGGCATGCGGGACCCTGACCAGGCTTAAGACAAAAACTTAACTGTTCGAGAGCAGAACCGTTTTAAATTAAGTTAAAAAACCGTTGATTGTTGTCTTCAAAAGAAACATATAGCATAAAAAAATAACAGTGGAATAAAATGTGGAAAAAATTCTCAGAGATCGATGGGGAACAGCTCGAAATGAATTTCTCTTTGAAAAAATTTTGTTTACTTCCGGGACCCATGAGTGGCGCTGGCCAATAAAATTCCTCTTTATTCTCAGGTCAGGAAATCCGACGTTTCTAGGACAACGAGTCACAAACAACTGAGCGCCGTGTATTACACTTTGTCTGGTTAGAAACCCTTATACCGCACGGAGCTGAACAAAAACTTCCAGCACACCTTTAGGAATGGTAAGTGTGACAGATTTTTTGTTCATTGAACGAAGAGTCTGTTGAACAAAATAGTTAAAAGTAACCTTAGTGTACAGATGCCACAAATATAAACGCAAATAGTGCGGGATTTGTTAACGTACAGAGGTTAAAAGCGACCGTCTCTTTGCAGTCTTTTACAAGTCAACGGCGCAACATCTCTCACAACCACCATCAGAAGATGATCCTGGAGCACCGCAAACAGGAGGAAAGGCGTGAAGATCATTCCAAACGCGTCGTTAAAGAGCGGCAGCTTGAAGCCAACCTTAGCTGCGAAGACAGAATCGAGAGAAAGCGTCTCCTACGCAAGCTGCAAGATGAAGAGTATGGCAAACAAATCGAGGAATCACTTCTCAGGGTTAGTTTCATTACATATGCTAAAAAAATCTCGTTTTGTTTATTTGTTAGAATTCCTTATGGATTCCCAGTAGCTGTACCATATAGCACTTCCTGAGTCGGTCCACATACATATTTAAAATATTAAACAAACAAGAACATAGTTGAATCAATAACCATGCGTTTAAAAACACATAACTATTAAACATACAATTAGGGATGATAAGATAAGAATTTTTAGCCGATACCCTGCTCCGATTCTGATGCATTACGCTTTACAATGCATAAGCACATTTTCAGTCCAAGTATAAGCTTAAGACACATAAGATACTAAACCATTTAGTCTGGACATGTCATGGTCAGAAGCAACTTTACAGATGAAAACCGATTTTAAAAATTGGCAAGAAAAAACACTAATAAAGCAATTTGGAAACATTGCAAATCATGGAAGAAGAATTCATCATGTCTCATTGAAGTATGGAGCGCATATTTGATGCATAAGGAGTTAAAAGGCACATCTATAATCCATTACTTCTTTACTAAAAGGATAGGTCCATAAACTACTGCTTATTACAATACAAATTTTCTACAATAAGTTATATGACTTTAGGGGAAAAAAAATTGTTTTTTTAATCACCTAATTTTTCCAGCCAGGATTAAATGAACTTGCAATATTGCTGAAAACAGAACATTCAGTTCTGATATGTAAAAATATTTCAGTTCTTATGTGTCCTCTGCTTGTAAACTCGTAAACAAACAATTGGGATCGGTTCATGAGATCAGCCAGATTAGCAAGTACCAATCTAGTCATGAAACGTGATTATCGTCCGATACGGTACTCTGGCTGATCGATCGGAGTATCTCTAATTAACATGCCAGTTAAGACGTTATAATGTTCTATTTATATAGCACTTTTTCCTAAAGCACTTTACACACATTTTTTGAAGGGTGAATCTCTTCAACCAGTGTTCAGAATTCACCTTAGAATGTGAATGCAATCATAGTGTGCCAGAACATCACCAGTCATCAGCATGGTGGAGAAGAGACAAAGTAGATAATATGGTGAGGAATAGAACACCATGATCGTGGGCAGAGGCCAGTGGGCAAACGTTATTTACATATTTTACTTTTACTTCAAATTATACTTACATGTGATAATAATAAATTGTAACTGACTGTTTCCCCCTGAAAAATGTATGTTTTAGGCAGAAGAGGACAAATTATTCAGAGAGAGGCAGCTTGAACAGGAGGAGAGGATGGCCAAGGAGCTGGCAAGAATTAATAACGAGAAACTTCGAGATGAGAAGATGAGGCAGTATATTAAAGAGAACAGGTATAAGTCATGATAAAATCAAAATGTACTCTTTTATTTTCTTACGTCAATTTGCTGTTCTAGAGGTAAGCAATTAATCATTGTCTTGGCCTACTCATCCAAACCTGAAATCAATGCTTCTTGATTTTGGATGGCATGTTCTCTGATGTCAGTTTGATAAAATGGGCAGTGCAATAAAACAAAACAGCTTACTATTAGATATTCTGTTTTACTTTTACATTTTATGTGGACTGTTCTGTATAATGTTTAGAATTTACTACATTTGTTGTTTCATTTGCAGTGTTGAGCTCCGAGAGCTGGAGTTAAAGCTCAAGTCTGCTTACCTGAATAGAGAGCGGGCAGCACAGATGGCAGAAAAAGAAGCGATGCGATATGAGACATTGGTGAGTGTGAACTCCAAATATCTTGCTTTTAGGCATATTTTCTTGTGATGTTATTTGTGAATCAAGTGTATTAGTGCCTGATCACTTTTTCAGCAGTGCTTGTTCTGTAAGAATTTTTCTCATAGGATTTTTTAGAAAGTAAGAACAAATTATCAATATTTATTTAGGATAGCCATCTTGAAGTACATGGCATGGGTTCAGTGGAGTCATAAGGGACCCCGAACATTTTGTACTGTTTTAGTTTACCACCACTAATGTAATTGTGGTTTCTCTTGTTGTCACAGCGGTGCTCTGTATGTTAATGCAGTTCTTTTGTCTGAGATGGTTCTCAGATTCCTGTTCCTATTCTAAATTTGGTCACAACTTGCTCATGATGTGATCATCACAAATGGCCCAAAAACAAAATCATTCACATTTAATCTTCTATAATAATTTAGCCATTTTAGAAAATGAGCATCAACATACTTTTATTGTAGAGTGGAATATCTGTCTGGACAGAGACAGACAATAGTTTCTTACAAAAGTGTTTGTGAAAGCATTATAAGTCATGAACCAAACAGCCAGATATAGGTTGAATCACAAAAAAATATAAAGTTTGATTTGAAATGGTAAAATGTATTAAAGTCAGACAAAAGACAAAAGGTAAAACCTAAGAAACAACTACACAAAGGGTGCTTTGAAACTATGAAATGTATGGAAATCAGAAAAAAAAAAGAAAGAAATCTTATATAAACAGTGGTGACTGTCCAATAGGGGGCGCCCCCACAATATTATTTAGAGAAAAATGCTGTTAATCTTTTACAAATATGTTAATTTTATGTTGAAAAAAATATTAGAATGTTATTCTAAATATTGTTCAAGAAATAAACTGTGCATAAAGTCTTTTTTATTATCTATTGTTTATTATACATTTATTTTTTTATTTGGTTTTAAATGATGGGTTAACTACATACGGCAAAGGGGAAATTATTTGTTTACAAATATACATTGTTCATAATAAAAAATTACTTGTGATGACAACAACATTTTGGATAGTTTAAAGCTAGGCCTACTGTTAAAACAGATACATATTGTAATTGATGTATTAAAGTAAATATCATTTACTAATAAATGGTTTAGTACAGGGTGATTAAAAAAAGAATTTTTGAAAATCTGTATTTAATCAAAGAAATCTGATGGAACCTTGGGTAATTAGTCAATGTGAAGAGTACATGACAAAGTTGTTTTTCAGAAGAAAACAAGTTCATAGATGTTCAATATGACTCCCTCCAGACACTCGAGTGACATCAACCTGATACTTGAACTCGTTGCACGCTCTCTGTAGCATCTCAGGCATAACAGTTTGGATAGCTGCACTTATTCCTTCTTTTAGTTCCTCAATGTTATCTGGTAAAGAACACCAAATCTTTAACGTACCCCCATAGAAAAAAAAATCAAAGGGGGTAGGGTCAGGACTTCTTGGAAGCCAGTGATAAAGTGGTCTGTCACAAGCTGCCTAGTGGCCAATCCGTTGCTTTGGGGACCTTTTGTTCAAAAAGGCAACCAAATGAAACGTCAGAGCTGCCTTAAATAGATGACAGAAAGATCTTAGCTCTCCTTTGGTTTTTTGCAGAGTTCTTGATTTTCAGAGAACATTTTGTGGTATTCTTTTTGAATCACCCTGTACTTTATTGCATGTTTTAAGAGTAGTTTTTTTCTGGTCAAATTTTTAATTTAACTGTGCCCTAACAAAAGTTTTTAGCACCAGCAGGCCACTGTGTATAAAGCACTGAAAATGGCAAAAAAAATGTAGCCTTTACTTCTGGAACCCATATATTGCTCTCTATTTACATATTAGAGAGAAGAGGCTATGATTGCACGTACAATGCGGGATGAGCATGAGCTTGCAGAGATGGAGAAGGAGAAGCTGGAGCAGAAGAAGTATGAAGAGGTGGTGCGATACCAGCAAGAACTTGAGCGGCAGCTTGAGGAGAAGGAGCGCAAGAGGCAGGAAGCCTATGAGGAGTTTCTTAAAGAGAAACACATGGTGGATGAAATCGTGCGGAAGATCTATATGGAGGATCAGATGTGAGTGTGCTCTTTTTAAAAAAAAATATATATATATATATATATATATATATATATTGTGTAACAGATGTTTTAGTAAGAAGGTTCTGGAGAGGTTAATAACTGAAAAGCTTAACTTAAAGGGAACTTCAGTTACAACTTGATAAGATGAAGGCCACTCAGAGGTACATTGAAGATTTTAAAAAGCAACAAGCAGAGTGGAGACGTATGGAGAGAGAGAAGGTGGAAGCAGAGAACAGACGCATCATTGAGTTTGCCCAGTACCAACAGAGGAAGGAGGAGGACAGAATGGCCAAAGTCAGAGAACGAGAGCAGGCAAAGGAGACCCTGCACAAAATGGTACATGACAGCTCAAATTATGTTCCTTCAAATACAGGAAAGCAGGCAAGATTTGATTATTAACATGGTCCTTCTCTTTTAGCTTTCTGAGCAGATTGAGTTGGAAAAACAACAGCGAGAGAAGATGGAGCGCGCACGTGAGGAACTTTGCTTGGAAGAGCAGGCAGAAGCTGCAAGGCAACAAGAAATTGTAAGAACTCGCTTTTTACTTTTTTACTCAATCTTGTGATTTTTGTCTCTAAAATGTTTTAGTCATGTTTATTCATAGCCAACAAAATTATGCACTATGTTTATGACCCTAATTCTTCACTGTGACCCTAATAATAAATAAAAACCCTTGAGGCAGGTTATTCGGGACGTAATGGGGTTCATTAAAGGTGTTTTCTTTCACTACTTGTTTAGCCTGAATCAATGTATTCAGTGTAAACTGAACGATTAATTCTTAAAAGATTGTGTTCTCAACAACAATGCAACATAAATGATGGTGATTTGCATATGTTTATTAATCCTTTGAAGCGCTACATTCAAATTTGAAAACACAAAAATCAAGAGATTGAGTCTTTTAAGTTACAAACACAGTCAAATAACACAGAAGTACTGGAATAACAGATTATAGTTTATATAAAACCATTGATGTTTCTGGTAAAGATTAAAATTGGGGTCATGCATTTAACTTGATGCTCAAAAATGAAAGTTTTAGGCACAAATGACATTATTTAACCAATAGGTGGCGACAACCAGCCATCAAAAAATATGCCACTAAATAATTCTTCAAAAAGTACACATCTAGCAATGAAAAATGAAGTTTTATGATTGAATTACTGAATCATTTAATGAAAATGAGATTAACAATAAATATGGGTTATACAAATTATAATGTTCGATTTCTGCATTTAGCATCATCAGCAACAGTACTAGTAACAGTAATATTTTCACAATACTGAATATTTTACTAAAAGTTTCTTGCAGTACTGTTTTTGTAATAAATGGAAAGCAAATTACATTTAGCTCCTCCCTTTTAAGCTGATCCGTGACTAAAACAATATTATGTGAGCTGAACTGTGAGATTTGTGATTCGTTATACCACTTATATATTTATATATTAAATTCAAACCCTTATTTTATTGGTTGATTGGATGACTGATTGATAACAATTTGTACATTTTTGTAATAATAATTCAAATAATAATTATTATATTTAATAATAATTAAAATTATTTAACATTATTTATTGATGAATTTCTAAGCGTAAATAATGCAAGTAATGTGTCCACATTGAAAATGCCTAAAAGAAAATGTTCTTATTTAACTGAATTAAACTTTTGTTTCATTATTGGTGTGGTTAACTAAGCTGCCACTAGTTATGTAGTGAAGGGTGCAGGGCTTTGAGACTGATGTTGAATACCAAAATAAACCTTCAAAGTTCCACATCTTATTCACACTTACCACCTGTTTACAATCATGCCACTCACAGGAAGAGATGGAGAAGAGGATCCGGCAGCGTCTGGAGCTACAGCAAACACAGCAAGAAATGATGGCCTTCAAGAAGTTGCGCTTACAAGAGGAAAAAGAGGAAGAGGAGGCCTTCAGACAAATGATGATGGCTAAATTTGCAGAAGATGATCGCATTGAGCAGATGAACGCTCAAAAGCGTCGTATGAAACAGCTAGAACACAAACGGGCTGTGGAGCAGCTTCTGGAAGAGAGGAGACAACAGTATCTGGCCGAACAAGTAAGATTTAAACCTCAAAAAAAGCCATTAGCTCCATCTGATTCAGTCCATATAAAAAAGTTCATAGTACAGACAACATGTACTGAATGAATCTAAATATTCAACAGGAGAGGGAGGAACAGGAGAGAGCAGTTGAACTGGAGAGAGAAGCTCAGCGCAGGAAGATCATTGAAGAGGAGAGACAGAGGCTCCTGAAACAGCATGCGACTAAACTGCTGGGATACCTCCCAAAGGTGAGAATACTTGAGATAGATTTTTGTAAATGAACACTGCTTTAAAGGGATAGTTCTTCCAACAATGAAAGTCATCATTTGCTCACTCTGGTGATGTGTTAATGCCATATGCCCTTCTTTCTTTTTTTCACACAACACAAGTTTTTTTTCTGAAAACACAAATTTAACTGTGGGATGGTGGAGTGAGCGGGGCACAAACTAACATAGGGTTAGCTCTAACACATGATTTAAACATTTCCACACATGCTAGCATAAATATTTAGTTACTAAAAATATAGGACTTTTATCTTAACATAGAAAAAGTACATTTCTGGCTTTAATTTCCATCCTAATCCTGTTGAAAAAAGTAGGTAGGTTTTGTAGCATTACTGGCTGCTGGTTTAAGCTGGTTCTTAGCTGGTCCTGTGCAACTAGCTCCTGCTCAGGACAGCACAAGACCAGTTCATTAGTCATGACTAGAGCCAGACAGAATTTTGCCATTTCTGTGCATAATTTTGTAAAAAATGTGTGGATTTATGCGGAATGGTTTTGGGAGTATCATAAATAAACTTATTATATGAAATAATATAAATAAAATATAAATAAAAATATAAATAAAATAAAAATAATATGCTTTTACCTTTTATTTACTTATTTGGTAAACAAAGCAAGTCTCTCTCATATTAGATCTACTACAAGACAAAAAATATTACTTTACAATCTATATTGTAAACAAATCAAATGAACATTTTTATATTAGACCATAATATTACTGAAATTATAAAAAAAGATGAATAAATGTAAATTTACACAAGCAAATAAATAAGCTCAACGATAGGCTAAAAACTGAAGGAAGTCTGCAGATTTCTGTGTGTGCAAATTCTGTGTGAGCCCAGTCATGACTACTTTAAATTAGCTCAAACCAGCAGCCATATTTTAAAATCTAACCAGCATATGCTGTTTTTTGTAAACATGGATGTGTTTATATAAATATATATAAAATTAAGTAAATGTGCTGTTGGTTTAATCTCCAGTCTGTTATTTATAAGATAAGAGAGTGCTTTAATGCTTAGCTAACTAGCAGAAGACACTCACCAGTTTTTAATTCCAATAGTGCAGATGGTAAATACTAAAACAAATAGTTAAATGTAACAAATATTAGACTCTAAATTCACACAAATGTCAAAATGACACTTTACTCACTTATTTAGGACAAACATTGTCCGTCATCTCTAAAGTAAATATATCTGTTGTGTTTGTCACAAAAAAACGTGTCCAAGCTAATCTGTCAAGTGGAAATCTGACTGTCATCTGACTGCCATAATTTTTTGCTCGATACTGTCTCAGGTATAATTTAATGATGAAAATACACAGATACTGTTTGTGATTTTTTAGGCAGATTCCATATAATCCTAGAACAGCGGGATTTTACAACATATCTTACATGAGATTATTTTGTGATTCAATAGCATCTTTTTTAAGTCAGAAAAAGATATCCGCATTAAAACAGTAAAGGGGTGTATAATAGATTATTTAATTAGCATTTTTGGGTAAACTATCCCTTTTAGCATATATATATATATATATATATATATATATATATATATATATATATATATATATATATATATATATATATACATATGTGTATGTATGTATGTATATGTACAGTATATATATATATATATATATATATATATATATATATATATTTTTTTTTTTTTTTTTTTTTTTTTTTTATTATATTATAATTTATAATATATGTATTTTTTTTATTCTGTAGGGTATTTTCAAAGAAGAAGACCTGGAGCACTTTGATGAGGATTTTAAAAACAATTTCAAGCAACGGCAGGCAGATATATTCTCAGATGAGGGCTGGGGAGATGATTCACAGTAGGGTAATTCCACCATGATGGTAATTTATGAACACTACATGGCATTCTTTTTCATTCTAAGCTGTGTCTACTGGACTAGTATAGCTTGCTGCTGGGTGCATCTTCCATTTTCACAAAAGATTAGAACAAACGTCAGACATTATGCAAAAATGTTTCCTTTAATAAAATGTCCATAGTATGTTCAAGTTAATTGTAATTGTGTAAATGTCAAACTTATTTAAGCTAGTGATTGTGGTTGATGATGAAATATTGGTCTCAAAAAGATACTACCTATTAAAGATGAACATTTGAATTATCTAAGGTGAATCTGTCACATTCTGGGTAATACAGTGTTGCTTTCTTTTGTCTGAACCATATTGTTGATTGTTTATTATTCATAGACTAGATTATTCATCTAGAGTCAGAAAGCACATAAGCAGTTCCTTTCCTCTGCGTGATTTCATTGCTTTCTAAGAAAGAACTGGACATGGTTAATGGTTGGCAGGCAGTAAATCATACAAGCAAGAATTTAATCAAATGTGACTGCTCATGTACAGTCAAGTCTGTCAGTGTCTCAGCGGCTGTCAGTCAGTCAGTCTGTTCACTTAGTCCATTACATTGGTCTGCCTGCTGTCATGGCCATAATATTCTTCCACCTACTAGAAGTGTTGACTAGTCAATACCACATCCCTACTAAAAAAAATGTCATGCCCCTCTTGGAAATGATTTTATAAAGTTTAATTTGAAAGGCTGTCATCTTTTCATTCTTCTTTAATACTGTTCTAAAATTAAAGAGCCATAAAATGAATTTCTTGAAAGTGTCAATAAAAAAATTCAGCTTTCCGATTTAACCTTGCTCTGTGTCACCATCAGCAATCGAGGAAGCTCAAGTTCAATGTTAAAGTCAGCATGAACCAGAAGTTGCTCTGACTTGTATTTCAGTATGTTGATGAGCTTCCAACTAACTGGATTATTGAGTAGAGGGTGGGGCTTTCTTTTTGCACATCATTCCCTTATAGCACACCTACAGCAAGAGCTTAAAGAATATTGTGGCTGAAACCATCAAACGGACATCATCAGAGAAAGACTGCCACTCTAAATGTCGAAGCAAACATTTTTTTCTTTGGATTAACTTGCACAAATTAATTGTTCACCTAAAGAATAACATTGTGTGCTTGCATAATAAACATTGTCATTTTCATATTATTTCGTATGGATTTTAAGCCTGTTAAAATCCGTTTTATTAGATCACCACATATTCTTCTTATGTGCTATGCTGATAATAAAAGCTTTTGTCTTTTCCAGATAAGTCTTCTCTTAATTATATCCTAGAAATGACCTCTGAGTAGTAGTAGAGGTTTAATGTTAAAAAGCAATCAATCATTTTAAGTGTCTGTGGCAGGTAATATCCTGTGTTAAATAGCTTTAGTGTTTACTGCTAGTACCAAGCTAACACTTTACTATGGTAATAAGTAATAGGACACTATACTATACACTATACTACTATGTCATAAGACACTATGCAATATGACTGGGAAAATTTACTTAGAAAAGCCGTTTTGTTGATATTGTTGCAGTGCCAAATGATGTTGTCAGATGACTCATTTAAAATTATCATTCAGTAAAATTATGATTTTTTTTTCTCATTTATATAAGTTATATTATACTTTCAGTTTGATATGTATTTTTTAACTAATGTTTAATTTATCAAGCACACATTATATTGATAAAAAATGAGTGTGATTTAAATATTTATAATGATTTACCAAAGATATAATTTAAAATAAAGGCTGTTATATCACTCTTACTTTTTAGTCAATTAAGAAATGTATCGCATCTACCACACAATTATGAAACGGATGAAAACATTTTTAAAGATAATAATAATAACCAAAATCAAATTATGATGGTAATAATAAGCTTTATGGGCAGCAAATCAGCATATTAGCATTAAATGCGTGTTTGTGTTTGTGTGTGTTTTACTAAGGTATATTTATGGAAAAAATTAAGGTACAACTTTAAAAAATGTTCAGCTTTTTGAATATGTAGTTTATACTTATGGGTTTGAAAGTATCTAATAACATTTAAATTTTTAAAAACCCATATATTTATATACTAGTATTTATATATTTAATTTATTTGGACATTTTTTTTATTTCTAAAAAAAACGTAAAGACCCTTAAAAAATGAGAATTGATTGAAATAAATATATTATTTTCATTCATTGTGACTGAAAATCAGGGTCGCTACTATTGTGTCAAAAATGTCAGAAAATATGGCACCCTTTTGTTTTTTTAAGCAAATAATGCATTAATATATATTTTTATTTTACATTAAGAAGAATTGTCACTAGTGGCTAACAGAATAAAACAAAAATATAAATTTAAAAATATGAATTTATGAATCACTCTAAAGTTAAATATATATAAAAACACATGTACATTAGAGTGATGTCCTCCATAGCTTTGAGAAAATATAATGTCTGTCCTGTCATATAGCCATGTTTTGCACTGTCCACCATTCATAGATGATGATGAAGAGTCCTCGGGTTGTTGACTATACCAGATGCACATGCAGCACACTGACGCACTTGTTCATGTCTGCGCACATACTCAGACATGATATTCATTCCTTCCTTCCTTTGTTTCTTAGAGAAAGAAGACTTTTGCCTTTAAGTCAAATATAGAAATGTTCAGCATGAAAATCTACCGTCTCATAAAGTTTGTAATCCATGCCAGAGCTTGACTTAGGTGCCTTGCAGCTCAGTTAAACCATTAATGAGAGTTTTGGTTATTTTCCCCAGCACTGGATCAAATTTTATGTGGTCCACCTACTGTAATGGATTTTCTTTCAAGTTGGCCAAATATTTCTTTCAATTGTCATCTTTGAACTGAAGCTCAGTGATCATGACTTAATCTTTTCTGACAATGTTCTGCATCACATACTTTATCTGCTCACCTGGGAAGATGAAACACGAATACCTTGAAGGAACTTTACGCTGTTTGACAGGCCAGTGAACTCAGAGTGTGTGTATCATTGCTTACGCCATCATTGCCTTTTTCTAGCATGGAAACTTTTTGTTCCTGAGCCTGACTGTATTGAATTGTCTAAGAATGAAGACTCTGTTTGTCAAAGCTGTGTGTCTACAATGAAGCTTATGCTAATAGACCAGACTCCAACGCTCCATTGGATTAGTCTGAGCTTGGTTTGACTTGGATCAATCACACTTTACGTCATCACTTCTATGCAGGCATCATTACTATATGAGGCCAAACGGAAATGAAAATCATACACATGCTAACCATATTAAAAACATACAGGGATCTCTGAGTGGAACTTTGCTCATTTCCTGGTTCCTATGGACCCCCTGATAGATATTAGCACTGAAAAAAATTCAGACATTTCCTGTGGCTAACCTTTTAACAAGATGTGGTTTTATAAAGGAGAGTCATAAAGCCCAAAGGCTTTCAGTTTGCCCTTATGCTGCATCTTCAAGGCTTTGCAGAGGTATAAAGATATTCTACATTTGCACTAAATCCCAGCATGCTGTTGGAACTGGTACAAACTGGCTGTGTTTCAATAGATGGTGTATCTCTCACTTGATGAAGCTCTAATGAGATGTGTATTTATGGGCTGCCATACAAAAGACTGTCTGAGGAGGGGTATGGAGGTCTTTCAGATCAATGACCAAGCAGTGGGAGGCTCAGACAATGGACCAATAAAGCACAGAAGTAGCGTGAGAACGTCTGAATAAAAGATTAGTCATATCATTTGGAAATGGACGTACAACAGTACCTAATTATATTGCATTTGGGCTAATTAATGCTGGTGTGAGCTTGTAAACAGCCATTGCTCATAACTACCACATCATTATTAATCCGAGCCACGCTCATTGCAAGCTTGTATTATTTTCCATGTTTCTCCCTTTGGAACAAATCACCCCCGTACTGGAACTATAGTGGGGATTGGGGCCTTTGGTTTGGAGATAACAGCAACCTGTGACAAGCACATTCCGAATCAGTCGTCGCCAGGTAATCTAGAACTGCTGCCGTGGCATATTAGACCATAAACCACATCGCTTTCATTGCTAGTTTTCCACAGAGGTGTGGAAATAAAGCTCACTGATCCCAGACCAACCTTGGAAAGTGTAAATAAATAAACCAATGTCAACAATGCAAACCAAATGAAAGGTTGGGTGTGTTTAAATGCCAAGGTCTGCGATTTTTATGAATCTTTTAATGGCCTGTCGGAGCTGTTCGTTTGGCAATAGTGCTGAAACATCAGCTGAGATCACACCATCGCATGACACTTGATTTTCCATGTTATTAACGTTTTCTGATCCAGTTCACATCAAGTGTCTGAACTAAATTACATTTTGCATTTTATACATCTGTTTGTGGCCTGTATTTACATTGTACATAAATTTAAAAGACCTGCCTTTCATTAAAGCTGTAATTCACTCCTGCAAACACATCTGTAATTACACTTTTAACCCTAACCAGTCCTTAAATTTACTCTGTCTTTTGCTGTATCTCATCTCAATACTATCAAAAATACACAAATTAAGTAAAGTGGTGACACACTTTCAATTTTGTTTTTAGGCTTTTCTTTTAATGATCAAGTAACGATACTCTGGTGATAAATGTGGCAGTGGTTCATTCTGTGGAAATGTTGTGATGCTTAACTCATTATTCATTCATTCATTCATTTTCCTTCGGCTTAGTCTATTTATTAACCTGGGGTCGCAACAGAGGAATTAACCGCCAACTTATCCAGCATATGTTTTACGCAGCGGATGCCCTTCCAGCTGCAACCCATCACTGGGAAACAGACTTGTGGGGGAATCCGGAGCACTGGGAGAACATGCAAACTCTACAAAGAAATGCCAACTGACTCAACCAGAACTCAAACCAGCAACCTTCTTGCTGTGAGGCGACCCACTGCCCCACCGTGATGCTCTTAACTCATTATTAAATATCAATATTTAGGGTTTTATCTATATAGTTTGCAGGACCCCTCTAATCACTACCATGTTTTCCCTATCAGCAACAACCCTGTTTATTAAACCTATTAATATTGTGTTTAAAAGTGTTATGATCTAACTCTGGCACTTACAGCAATATTCAATATACTCTAGGTAGCTAAATAAATGTACAGGCCCTCAAACAATGATAATGTCGTGGAGGGGTTTTATTAAACGTATTAAGTCTATTTAAAATCTATACAGTTTGTTTTATATGTGATTTTAACATTCTTTTAGAACTAGCATGTCTTTTGGGCAATTATAGAAATGTTCCAACATTTTTATGTTTTGCT